TCCCAATCCCAGTTTTGGAGGGCATAGGAAGGACACAAGCTCTGTAGTAACTATCAATTAAAAAAGAAATGCCAGAAGTATGAAATGGGCTGCATGGCGAAGAGAAATCCATTGAGCTACAAATGTCTTCTTTTATAACTACTGAGTAAGATTAGGTATATGGTTAAAACAGATATTGTTGCGGTAGCTTTGTAAAAGATAAGCTCTTGGCTATAACCTAGAAGATTTCTGAGACGCATCGAAACCAAACTCAGGATAACGATGAACACAAGGAAAACACARTTGAATATGAAACCCTACATATCATAGAGTAGAAAGTGTCAATGGTATACCCATGGCGTTTATGGCTCTTTTGCTTTGATTGACTGCCTTTGGTTGATGCCTTCCCACCATCCTCTAGTTGAGCATTCTCTGCTGATAAACGAAGAAACTAAATAAGTTAAATCCTAAGTACAAACACTCAGGCCATAATGGATAGCTAGTAGATACAATGCAAGTAGTGGATCGACGTTTCTCTTGATAATTACATTGCACATGCACTTCCTATATATTGCTTTATACATCTCTTCATCTGGACATTCATAAGAGAATTAGAACTGACAAGCAATGCAAATAAGACATAAGGCAGTAACCAAAATGCTTACATGCAACTACATTCAGGATTAACTCATCCATCTAACAGCTCTGGATGGATATATCAGAAAGTTATTTTTCTTATACTTTTGTTACTAGATTGGGGCTACAAGCATTTCAACAATGACATTCCACTAGCTAGAATCAGCAATGACCCTTGTCAGAAGCACGTGATGATTCAGAAGTAGAAGCTTCATAATATGTTCACAACATCTAGCTTCTGAATATGTTCACAAGGGGAACGAGAAATGTAATTATCTATGGAGAGTTTATAGCTACCAATTTAACAATGCTTCAGAAAAAGAGTCATTAGCTGGAAACGATAAATGTTAGTAATACCTGCTGATTGTTCAGTAAACAACCCTGCTGCAGTCCAGTACTTCATGAAATTTTTCTTCACTCGCTTCATCAGGTCCACAATATAATCACCTTTCTTATTGTACTTGGAACAGTTATTCCAAATGTATTGGACATCCTTGTAAACATCCTCAGAGTTCATATACTTGCCTTTTTCAAAATTACTGCATATTGTTCCAAAATCCATAGGTGTCTTGATTATATCGAAATAGTCCTAATCGCATAACCAGAAAACAGATACACCAGTTAGACATCAATTCTGAAATCGCTTTACAGGCAAAGCGCAAATAAGAGATGAAAAGATGGCAGAGATGGGAAAAGTATAGAAGAAAACATCCCATATTAATGTCTAGTGACAGGGACGAGAAAGTCAAACTACAATTCACTATCCATCTCTGTTCAGAGTCTTTGTCAAAAATCATATGATGGAATTCATAATTAAGTTATAAGCCGTTGTTTTTCTTCTGCTTTCATATTTGTGGTCAAATGTAAATCCATAAGAGCTGAGAAATTGAGGATTAAAATTTAGCAATGACCAAAACCCAAGGTTATCCCTCAAGGACAGAGACATTAATCTATGTATACTAATACAGTCAATCTGGTCCTGTTCACCTATTGAAAGAGAAAGATGAGCCCCTGCGTTGAGCTAAATAATTGGACTAGTCCATATACTAGAGCATTTCTAAGTCATGTCAATGATTTTTGTTTGTTCATGAAAAAAGTATTTAGGCTGCAAAATTATATGGAACCAATCACCTAGGATGTTCAATAAAAGCATGTAATGGAGATATGCGAAAAGAATCAAAAGTATAGATGAATAGTTGAGCTTTCACAAGCGAAGGTTAATACATAGCAACACCTTCCAAAATTGTGCCTTTATCCTATAAGATGAAGCTATTATCCACACTTACAGGAATTCCGAGAGCTTCTGGATTCACAGGAACATTAAAGGGATCAGCAGCTTCCATCTTCATAATCTTCTTGATTACCTAGAGTAGTAATGACACCAACACACAAGCGGTGCATCAGAAGTAATAATGTAATATTCAAGCTGAAATGTTCATACTGTTAAAATGAACAATAATGAAGGTAGATATTAATCTGAGCATACTGTAAGAGAATCTTCAAGTTCTTGCTTATTGTATTGTGCATTTTGATCAGTCTTCTTCTGCTCGTTCTGAACAGAAACTGGTGCAATTTCTGGTTCTTGCTTCTTGGCTTGAGAATTCTCATCAGGCGATTTTGTATCCTTCTGTAGTATATTTGCATCCTGGGCCTTGACAGCATCAGCACTCACCTCAGTAACTGAGCTAGATCCATCTACCGGCTTTGAAGACTTAATCTTTATACCTTTAGTTTTCCTGTAAACATTCAGAAACACTGGTTTTCTCTCAGGCACACGAGGAACCGATTCCTCCTTTTTCTCAACGACCACAGCAGGTTTCTCTGGCTCCACTTGAGGACTGCTCTTAACGATATCAGTACGCGATGGAACATCGGGTTCTGGTGCTTTAGAGGTCTTCAGTTTAACCTTAACACGTCCAACTGACTTGCCCGTCTCAGCTGATGCAACAGGCGAATCAGTAATAGGTGTATTGCCACTCCCCGTAATAGGTGTATTGCCACTCCCCGTAGAAGAAGGCGCATCAACCTCCATTTTAGATTCATGTTCACTGTTCTCACACTCAGGAGGAGCACCAGAACTTTGCTCAGAGGTTTGGTTCTCGGTTGACTCATTCAAGTTCCCTACGTCAGTGATAGTTTTGGACTTTTTAGACTTCTTTCCCTTCTTATGCCCTCTTTTACGCTTCATATCGATGATAGTACAGCTATGTAGAGACTCCTGCAAAACCAAAGGGTAATACAAATAATCTTTCAATGAGCCCAAAAAACCAAACACACAAAAGTTAATGACAGATATTTCAAATCGACAAAACTAGTATAGAGAATCCATTGCTTCTTCATATGACAAAATCAAAAGCTGAACATCAATCAAGGAAACAAATTACAGACAAACACAAACAATTCGCGATAATCAACAATCTTTGGCTATTCTAATCTAACCGATTAAAGTCGTCTCCAAACAAAGGAGGGAAATCAAGCGCAGAGAATGAATCTACCAGAAAAATTGAAACCCTAAATCCAACTAGGCAAAGCAGAAAACGAAATCCTCCTCCAGGAGGAAGAAGATGAAGAGGGAGATTCAAAAAAATTAGAATCAAAAGTTTGGAGGGAAATTTTTACCAAACAAAGTTATA